AATAATACTGTTCCAAAACTTAGATCTAAAATTCTAACAAAAATATTGTATTTTTTTTTTTAACAAAAAATAAAAAATTTAAAGTAAATCTTTGTAACACATAATATCATTTATAATATACGTAACTTTATTTTTTATTCGTAACACTTTTTACAAATTTATTTTTTTTTATCTTGTTTATGTTTATGTTTTTTATTAACACAAAATTTTCAATTAGATGTAATGCATGCAAACATTTAGATATCGCCATGTGATCTTAATTTTTATAAACCGCTTAATAATATATAATCCTTCACTTCACTTCGAACAATAATTTAAAATTAAAATGTAGGCTTGGCTAACTATTTTCTCAATATAATAATTTAATTTTTTACCTTTTTGCAATGTCAAAATTCCTATAAAGTCGTGACACTTGAAGACTTGATCCTAAATTATAAATAATACTTAATGTTACTATATGATCCTTCTAATTATGAAAGTTTTTGATCTCAAAAAATTTTGCTCTAATATTTTTTTTATTAAAAAGCACTTTTATTACATCCAAAATTTAAAAATGTATAATATAACTAATCTTTATATTAAAAAATTTTTTTTTTTGAGTTTATTATGCATTTAATTATGAAACATAATTTGAAAATTTTTATATGACATATACATATATCAACTGAAGAGATTATATATATATATTTTTTTTTTAAAAAAAAAATAACATTTTGTTTACATGAATTGCTAGGTAACTTTTTAATAAATTATAATAGCGTTAACCCTTAAATAAGAGGATTTTCAAGGTTAAATAATAAAGTTAAAAATGATAGATATTGAACATTTGCTGACGTTTTCTCTAGTAATATACATTTCTATATTGTGACTTCGTGGCAAGGAACAATTTTTTCTAACTAGTAGTACTCTTTCATAAAAACTTAATTATGTAACATTTTTAAATTTCCGTTGTTTGATGCAAAAGAAACTAAGTATTCATGCTTATGCTTTACTTTGTCTTGTTATATTTAAGTATATAAGTTACAGATTTAATAATATTTGTTACAAATTGCTTAACTGATTTGGTTATAAATAGAAGTCCTTATAAACTAGTATCATAAAAGTATAAAATCTCGTGTCTGCTACAAAACTATAACCAGCTATTTGTTTTCTACTACATTATTACAATCAATTAAAAAACTACCAGAGTTATTCTATTTACTTCCTTAATAATAGCCTCAGCGAATTCAAATTATTAATATCTTTGAAAGTGATATCACGAAATCATTAGTTTTATATTTAAACATAATTTCATATTTCTAAATCATATGGCTTAAAATATTTTAGTAAATAATTAAATTTGATAATATTAATGGATATCAAAAAACAATCTGCTTGTAAATGTTGCAGAAATGTTTATTATAGTAACAATACAAAGATTTAATAGTAATTGTTTTATTTATTTACGAAAATACCTTTTTTTTAAAAAAAAATTTCATGCTATATAAAGTTTTAAATAATGTATTTCTTTGTTTGATGTATAGTAGTATATTAAGAATAAATAATATATATATATATATATTTTTTGCATTTTAATACAATTTGCAGATTTAAGTTATAAAATTTATTCGTATTAAAATGAAAAAGAATAGCTTTTATAAACTTCCTGCTTTTTTTGTTTGGATTTATTGTTTTATTATGTATAAAAGTTGCAATATTAACAATCAGGTACTACCATTTTAAAACAAATTAATATATTAACAAATTAAACAAAGAAATGTATAGAATAAATTGATGTAGAAAATATTGAAATAGGTCAGTTTTATCTTGATTGTAACTTGAAGTAAAATTATTCTTTACTTATTATCAAGATGAAATGCTGATGGAATTATGAAACAAAATGATGAAACATAATTTTTGAAGTTATTTTGATGTTGATTGGTATTATTTTTTATAAAGAATACAAGTAGATTTTAATAATTCAACAAACTAATTTTGATAATATGAATTTTTGTATTATCTAAATATGAATTTTATTAATAAAATGTTCGCTGATAGGTGTTTTATTGATTTTGGTATACGTAATTTTATTAGCATAAATGATTAGCCATCTAACCCTGTTTATGCAATTAAAGTTATTTAGATAATCTAGGCGTGCATATATATTCAGATCGCTAGTAGATATAAGTTATTTCACATAAATAGTACTTGAGTGTGAGTTAGTATGTCATGTTTATATTATTTCTTTTACTTATATAGACCTGAATGTAAATTTTGCAGCATTTTTGAGCTAATCTAAATCAATTTTTTTTTAAATGATAAGAAATTTTATTTGGATAACATTTATACAATATTCACCAACTATTTATTATTAATATTTAATCCAATATATTTTATAAAAGGCAAAAATACTACTAGTTTTCCTTCAACAAAGAAAAAATTATGCAATAAGAAAATACCTTCAACTAAATTATTTCTGTCATGTGATCTATATTATTCTTCAGAATATATAGCATAATTAAAAATCCATTTATTGGTCTTATTTTTTTGAGATGATCAATATTAATCAGCCAATAAAATTTAATAAATATTATGTAACATAAAATTAAAAATTTATCGTTATCAAAATAAAAAATTAAATTTTTTTATTTCAAATATAATTATTAATTATAAACCAAAAATTTATATTTTAAAATCAACCGGTATACAATTTTCAATAATACTATTGAAATTTATAATAATTATATAGATTAAATTAAAATTAAAAAAGAATAAATCAACTTACCTAATATTCTTTTCTTTAATTTTATATTAATTTCAACTTCTCTTGATATAACATCGATATTATCTAATTCTTTTTCATGATTTTGTGTTCAAAAGTGTGTCCAATTATCAATATTTTTATTTATTTGTAATCTTTGATTATAAGATTGTGATAATTCTTTAATTAAATTAGAAAGGTAATTATAATAATATATATAATATAAACCTAAAATATGAAAGTAAATTTCATGATATCCATGTTCACAAATTAATATTTGACTATTATTCCATGATAGATCATATATCCTGAGTGGTCACATAGTTTATTAGTTACTGGTTGATATTTTGAATGATATCCTAATGGTAATACACTAAAAAAAATCACGTTTTAATACCAAGAAAGTAACAATAATCTTTTTTAATTCCTGTTCCTTCTTTTTTTAATTCAACTCCATTAGGATTTTTTTATAAATTATTAAAAAACTCCAAGTGAAAAATAGCTGATAATTTAATTAAACCATCAAGATTTTTTTTTGAATAGAGATAATCACTTTTAGATTCAAAAGACTTTTATAAAAGAATTTTCATGTTAAAAATGATTTATAAACAATGCATCTCTTCTCAATGATTTTTCAGTAAATATTTTTGTACTAATATGAAGACATAATAAACTATGAAAATTTTCAATTAGATATTCATCAAAAATGTTTAAATGCATTTTTAAAGTATCAAGTATCAGATATTGTATTACTTTCCAATAAGAAATATCTAACAAAAAGGCAAGCATAATTTTATCATAATTATGCCTATATAATCATTGCATGACAGTCCAAAGGTGAAATATAGTATTAACATATTCTTTAAATTTGTTTTTTTAAATAAGTAAGTATATATTTCTAAACTTGCTGGTGATACTATATGAAGTCAATCTTACTGCACTACAAAGATTAAAGAATGATCAACATTATTAACATCATTAGCCTTTTTAACTTAGTTAACATTTTTATTTTATTTATTTTATTCTTATATTTTATTATTATTATTTATTATATTAGTATTATTGTTAAATTATAATTTATCTTTTATATTTATCTTATCGTTATAAAATAGTTTAGTGTTAGATAGTAAATTCTTATAATTGTATTTTTGTATAAATAGGATAGAAATTTGTTCTTGCAAAGGGGCAAAGATAACAGTATAAACTTAATAGTTTGAGTTCAAGACTTAGAATCCATGATTAAGAATTGCTAAGGATATAAACTCTACAATAAAGGAATCTCTTTCTAAATTACACATATTAAAAATTCTTTAACGTGTCAATTGTATTTATTGTGTTTACAAGTTGTTAAAGTTATTTTACTTGTCTAAAGTATAAACTTAAGGTTGATTATGATAAGACTTATTCTATAGAACTTAGTAGTTTCTCACACATTACTTTCTATTATTAAGTTATAGTTACTCTAAGTTTGACAGGCTGAGCGTAAAGTTAACATTGTATAAGTATTTTCAATATTACATTTACTTAGTAATTTCTACTTAGCTTTAAACTGTTTTTTCCAATCTAGATTTTTTCATCTAATCAGTATTTGCTAAAATTTTCATTCTTGAAATGGTATCATTTTTAATAAAATGATATAAGTAACAAGATTAAGACGAGGATAAAAGAATTTATATAGAAAATCCCTTTTTAAAGCTTTCTAGTGTCCTTCAATAAACATTGTCATTTAAGGATTAAAATATTTTTTATAGGTCGATCGTGCCCATAATTTCTAATAGCTATCATTATATTACTTTTTTCATAAATATACTCAAAGACGTATTAATACAAAATTCATAAATTTCCTTTACAGCTTGTTTTAATATTTAAATACTTGTTAAATACTTTCTGGTTAAATTTAGTATTAATAAATACTAATGTAAATATTAATGTATGATTTTCTATACTTCTTTAAGCAATTCTTTAGAACAAATCTTTTCTGACTTTGTTTCTATTATTGGTCCAAATGTTGTTTTAATAAAAGAAAATTTTTATGTGTAACAAGTGAATTGTATATAATTTGTTGAGCTTTTTGGAATTTTTTAATTTTGTTTCAATTGCATATTACATATGCTACTGGCATAATTGAATTTTTATACTTGATCATACATATTATATAGTAGAAATCTGGGCAAAATTCTTATTTATTAGAAAAAATTCTGGCTTCATATATTTGCAAAGTCTAATTTTATTAAAAATACCGCTATAGTATCTGTTCTTATTAACCTACTGCAGTTTTCATTATTTTCAAGGTAAGTGAAAATCCAATATTGTGAATTTCTACATAAAAATCATAAAGCTCAAATTTCAAATTATTCATGTTATCTAACTAAATAATGATAAAATAATAAAAAACTTTAGTAATAATTAACAAACTCTATTAGATTCATTAATTATAAATTAATACTTACATGTAGCATTGATCCCACATTCATACAGTAAATTTTATTTTTTCAATTATCTTCTTAATACCTATTATAAAACTAATGACTTGTATTAAAGATTCTGAGAAAAATATAATCTCAAAATTATATTCTTCAAGCCATTTTTTTGCTGAAATAAATGTATTTTCATCACATTTATAATGATTAGCCATAAATTTTGATCACTAAAAATATATTTGTTTTTGGTAGATTAATAAATCCATTCTGTTAGAAACCAGTTTAGTATAAATTTCTCAAGGTAAAAAATTGATATTTTCTTTGATAAAATCTTTAACATAATCTAGTATAGAATGATTTAAAGGAGAAGGATGAAGATGCTCATAAATTAAATAAATTTGAAAGATACTAGCTGCTATATCAATAATAATTTTAAGCATTCCATTGCATTTGAATTTTTCTCTTAATGGTGTATCACATTAATGATTAAGATTTGCATTTTTCTTAAGATTTATTCGTTGAGAATAAAAATACCAAAAAAATATAGAATTCTGCTTTTAATGTTCATATTTTTTATAGAAACTAGTAATAAAAGTATTAAATGATTAGTATTATATTAATAGATTTAGTATTTTTATTAATGCAAAATTTAATAATTGCTTACTTTCAAGAATATTTATCTATATCTGAAATTTCATTGTAATTTGACTAGTAGTTTCTTCTGATAATCTATCAAATAAAAAAGAATTAACAGTATATATTATATTTAACTTCATATTTTCTTCATTTTCTTTGTTTTTAGAAAATTCTTCCAGTTGTTCTGAATAAAAGTTAAGAAATTCATCAAAATTAAGAAGTTGTGTTATAGGATCAGTATTATCTGAATTACTACTATTTTCAGTCTTTTGTAGGCTACGTTTTAATTTTTTTGATTATTTTATATAATAGTGAATGCAAGTACAAAATTGTTTACTGATTTTATCATAAAGATAAAGTTTAATAAGTAAACTTTTATAATAATCAGAACATATTTGCAACTTATCAATATTGCTATTTTGCTCTTGAGAATACATCTAAAAAAACTATCAATATGATAATATACATGTATTCAAATTATAATAATATATATATCTTAAAATCATACTTAAAAATGTAAAATAAATAGCAAAATAAATTTATTTTAAGTATATTACTAAAAATAAGTATGAAGTTTCTTTTTAAAACTTTTTGCAATATTTTGAATAAAAGCAAGATAATACTAATATTTGAATACAGATTTTGAAAATATTACATATTTGAAATACAAAATTAATAAACGTGAAACATAGGTAATAAGGTTATGTGATTAACATGTCACAAAATATTACATACCAGTATTTTTTAGTAGTTACACTAGAGAAATCTTTATCACCGTTTATATTATATATTATGTAATTATGCAGATCATTTTCTTTTTGATACTATTCATTTTATAAAAAATTATTTTTTACTAATTTTCGTTATTACACAAAAATGTGTTATATAATATTGATTTTTATATTTGTAAATGATTTTCATATTAAGATGTGATCAATATTTTGACTGTTGTGATTTTGATCCTCGTAATGTATTTTGATTTTTGTAATTGATTTTGACCCTCATAATATATTTTGACTCTCATAATTAATTTTGACTTTTAATTTCGATCATAACCTTAAAGTCAAAATATTTTGACTTTTAGATTTTAGTTTTAGTTTTATGTATAATCAAAACTAATTCTTTCCAGTATCTGATCAGATTTCTATCATCTTTTTGAACATATTGTACTCTTAGTAAATTTAACATTACTATTAATAATATAGCTCATGTAATGTTTATGACAAAATTTAATTCTTAGATAAAATCTAATGTTTTATACTTTATGACTTTATGTTTAGCATCTTTTGTGAATCTTTTAAACTTAGTTTTAGACCTTTCTACTGCAAATAATACAAGGTCCAGTAAGTTTCTTCTGTAATTATTATTACTAAGTTTTCATATTTCTATGAAAAGGTTAAAAAAGTTAGTTGAATAAATATGTAAATACATATAATTAGTAGAATTATTTTTTGTCAAAATGCTTTAATAGACATTTAAGAATAGATTCTTACTGATTTTTTTATTGTTATATAAAAGATTTTTATGTTTTCATCATCATTAATTATTACTTTAAATAATATAAAATCTGCAATCACGTAATTAATGATAGGACTTTTTAAATTCTTAAATATTAATTTTAATTAATAAGTAATTAATAAGTAGTTATTAATTAAATTGCATATCTTGCTTTTTAATCTATATAAGTTAATAAGTATTAATAAGTAATTAATAAGTAATTAATAATTGTTAATTAATATGAATAGTCAAGATAAATCATATGATTAATCACTCTATTATTTTTTTTTAATTTTCGTGTATGATAAAATTTTTTAATAATCTCAGATTATATCAAAAAATATCATAAAAAAAATAAGATAAAAAAAAGGATTTAATTTAGTTTTATTTTACCAAAGGTCTATTATTTAATAGTTTTTACCATGAAGCAACATATAAGTATTATTCTGAAAAAATAAGTGGTATTCCTACTAATATATTAAAACATCTTAAAGAATGCATTAAAATTAGTGAAGAAAATTTGTGATACTTTACATAATTTGAATAATACAAAAAAAAAATAATAATAAATATAAACATTCTTATATTGAAACTGTTGATTCAAGTGATAATGGTAATAAATTATTTAATTTAAAATGTTATTGTTGACTTCTTTAATAAATAAATGAAATATAATACTTTTTTTATCTAATGTAGATGAAAATTAATCAGAAGTTCACAGCATATAAAGATCTATAGAGTTTTTTGTAGATAAGAATATGCCTACAAATGAAGCAGTAGTAATATATCATCAATCATTACGCGTATTACTTTCAGCAAATGTTTCTTTTTCTTTTGTAAAAGATCCTAAAGTTAACAAATTATTTAAGATGTTACAACTTTCATATAATTTACCATCATGAAAATAGATTAGCACAGAAGTTTTAGATCAAATTTATGAAGAAATAAAAAATGAAATAGAGAAATTTACTACAGAAGCTAAGTTTTAACTTTATCTGAAGATGGATGGACAAATGTATTTAAATAAAGTATGGTTAATTTTATTTTTACAAATAAAAAGTATCAAAGTCAAATTTGAAAAATAGAAAACTTCTCAAATATTTATCATATCAGAGATATTATATTTGAAATATATAAAAAAGTTGGAATGGAGTTTGAAATTAACAAATGGATAGGATTTGTATCTGATAGTAGATCAGATATGGCTAAAATACAACGTCTTATACACAAAATAAGTTATTATTACATTTAAATTTTACTAATATTTGAAAATTTAATTGAATATTATACTTTTAAAAATAAGGATTTAGAAATAAGCAGAAAAGTTCTTACTATACCTTGTATAGCTCATCAAATAAATTTGTTCATCAAAAAAATTATAAATTTACTTATTTTTAAACCTATTATTAATCATTTTCAAAATTCAAATTTAGCCTTAGCAAAATTGCGAGAATTATTACAGAATCTAAATTTGATACCTTAGTATTCTTGTATTACATGTTAAGCAACTTTTTTTAAGGCTGCAAAAACTATTTTATCACTTCAAAATATTATAAGAGTAAGTAAAATAAATAGTTAATTATTTTATAATTTTATATTTTATTAATTTCTTATTTTCTTTAATAGATTATGGCTATTACTCATCCTAATCTTTTAATTACAAACAGAAGAACAGATAATCATCTTATAATTAATACTATAGAAAATCTTGAATTTTGGAAAAAGCTTATGATGTTTTATGATTTATTAAAGCCTATAATCATATTATTATAATTTTAAAATTTGAACAAGCTACTCTTAAATAAGTTGCAGCTACATGAGCGTGGTTAAGAAAAATTATTAACAAATTACCTTCTAGTGAAAGAGAATTTAAAACTTTAATGGATAATGAGATTAATAATCAATGAAGAAAAATTTATAATCCAATTTTTCTTATCATCTGATTTTTGTATTCATATTATCATATTGAAAGAATTAATCCAATAAAATTATTACAAATTCTAAAAGATACCTATACATTATTTATATATTATATCCAGAAAAAATAACAATGCATTTATAAATGAATAGTTAAATTATCAAAATAAGAAAGATTCTTTTAAAGCAGAATTTTTAAATAGTTCAAAACTAACTAAAATTTCATTAAGATATTGGTAAACTGTCCTATTTCATACATCAAATTTAGCTGAATTTGCTTGTAAACTTTTTTCAATTTTACCAAACTCAGTAACTTTAGAAAGAGTGTGATCTCTTATAGATAATATACATAAAGAATAGCATAATAGATTATCACCAAAAAAAAACTATCAAAATAATGCAAATTACATGATACTTAAGAAAAAAATATTTTGTAAATAATTTAAAAAAAACTCAAGATTCTTTAAAAATATATAATAGATTGAATTATAATATTGAAGATGATATATTAGATGAAAATAATGTAAATATGAATAAAATGATAAATGACTTAGAACAAATGTCAGCAAGAATAATTGATGATATTAGCATATTTAATAGCAATATACAATCCCCTATTTTGCTTGAGATGTTTAATCTATAATTAATTGAAATAGCATTGACTAAAGGAGTTAATTTCATATTATAGATATAATTTTCAATAAAAAAATTTTCACTTTATCAGAAAAAAACGTTATTACATGATTTATTTAAATTTGATTAATCAGAATTTTTAGTATTAATAATTTAATTTTTAATTTAATAAGTAATTATTAATTTAAAAAAAAATTAAAATATTTTTAAGTTCTATTATTACTCATGATATTACACATTTTTATATAATAACTAATCATGTAAATGTCTATTATATTACATAAATCATTTATAAATTAATCACGTGATAATTAACATGTATATTAAAATTATTATAATATTATAATAAATATTTCCAATTTTCTATACTA